AACCCTGCCCCCTACAGTTGAATAGTGGAGTGTTAACCACTGAACAGCCAGGGAAGTCCCATCCACTCATTTTAAATAAAGGAGATTATCCTAGCCAATGTGGATGTACCAGATTCAATAAATTATGACCAGTGCAAGTTTGATGCATCAAGTTCGAGGCAAGGGCATCCAAAGCCAGTGCTCTGGGACAGCCCAGAAGGGTAGGGTGGGGAGGGAGGTGGGAGAGAGTTCAGGGTGGGGGGTACACATGTATACCTGTGGCTGATTCATGTTGATGTATGGCAAAAACCGTAACAATACTGTAATTATCTTCCAATTGAAATAAATTAATTACTTTTTTTAAAAAAAGGTTTTAACAGCAGAATTGAGGTTTCCTCAAGGAGGATGCAGTTCTGGACTGCATAGCTGCAGTTGGCCTGCCCTACAGACTTCATACTTGCCAAACCAGTCTGGCAATCAGGTAAGGAATTCCTTGGAATATATATATCTCTCTCCCTCTTCATATATAATACTATAAAAATTTCCACCCCGAAATGTCTTAGGATTATTTTGAGCTGAAAGTTGTCAAGGCTCAAAAGACTCAGGAAGAAACCTTGACTTTCCCCTTTAGCTGTCTAAAGAATTTAAATAGAGAACCTGTTTCCAGAATGGGTTTTCACCAGATTTGCCTACAAAGAATATGGATTAGGTGTGTATTTGTGTGTGTGTGTGTGTGTAGGGGGGACCGGACCTAGAGATCAGGGTCCACTCCGTGTTCCATTGTCTCTACATGGACCAGCAAGTATTTACTTATCAAACACTTTCTTTTCCACTTCCATGTGAATTGTCTTCCTCCCTTTTGGAGTCCCACGCAACTTCCTCCAACACCTTTTCTTTGTCTTTAGCTGAAGATGGTATTCAAGGTGAATGTTTTTGGTGGGTTATTCAGTTTGCCTGGTTCTCTACCATGTATACATGTTCTCAAACTGTGCTTGACTTTTTTCTCTTAATTTGTCTTATGTCAATTTCATAGACCAGCCAGGAGAACCTAGAATGGTGGAGGAAAATTTCTTTCTTCACAACACTTCCGTATCATACTGGTCCTGTTTCTCTGGCAGAACCTTGACTGATACACCACTTTTAATAGATTATATGTTAAGTAGACAGCATATTAAAAAGCAGAGACATTACTTTGCCAACACAGGCCTGTCTAGTCAAAAACTATGGTTTTTCCAGTAGTCACGAATGGACGTAAGAGTTGGATCATAAAGAAAGCTGAGTGTTGAAGAATCGATGCTTTTGAACTGTGGTGCTAGAGAAGACTCTTGAGAGTCCCTTGGACTGAAAGAAGATCAAACCAGTCAATCCTAGAGGAAATCAGTCCTGAATGAGGATTGGAAGAACTGATGCTGAAGATGAAGCTCCAATACTTTGGCTACCTGATGTGAAGAGCTGACTCATTAGGAAAGACCCTGATCCTGGGAAAAATTGAGGGCAGGAGGAGAAGGGGATGACAGAGAATGAGATGGTTGGATGGCATCAGTGACTTGATGGACATGAGTTTGAGCAAGTTCTGGGAGTTGCTGATGGACAAGGAAGCCTGATGTGCCACAGTTCATGGGGTCGCAAAGAGTCAGATGCGACTGAGTGATTGAACTGACTGATATGAAGTAAACTTCATAGGTAAAGTTAATTGAGGTTTTTCTCTCCTTAAACTTAAATCATCCCCATGCTTGATATAAATACAAGTGGAATTGCAAGATCAAGGGATAATGAGGCTGAGAAGCAGAGATTTATTCTGGACCAAAATTAATGTAGTACCACTGGAATGACTTACAACCTTCCCTCAACAACTTTTAAGAGAGGTGCTTTCACTAATCACTAAACAAAATAACTAAAGAACATCGAAGGTCCATTGTGCATTTAGGTAATAAATAAATGTGGAGTTAAGCCAAATTCATATCATAAACACAACATAGCTTCCGTGAGAGATGTCTTAAAGGCATAAATTCTCGTGGATAGAGCTGTATTCATTGAGGCTTCTGTCTAGGATGATTGGGTCAGTTGTTTTGTCAGAAGATCATGAATGCCAATTTGGGAAGATGGCCTGGACTACTCATTTGAGGTGTTTTGTATCTTTAAATAAAATTCTTCTGATTGTTCTGTTAGGATTTAGGTGTTGGATCTCTGCAACGGGTGGGCAAGAGCAGTAGGAGTGCTGTTTTCCCTCTGACCTGGATATGCACTCTCTAGTTCCCTTTAGTCTTTACCTGGGCCCACTTAACATATCCATGTTATTTGTCAGATCCTCTAGGCATTTAATTTTATGACTCTGTCCATGAGAAACTTTGCTCATTGTCAAGATTTCTGACTCAGGCCAATCACCTCTCTGCCATCCTGCCACCAGGGGCTTCCATCTATGTGGCAGACACTGTTGATTGCCATTTTCTGGCTGAAACAGCCAGCCATGCACTTTCCATTTCCTTTGTAGAGCAGGGTGACCGTATGACCCAGTTTCTGCCCAACAAGTCATAAGGGAATTCTGCTGGAATGGTTCTAGAAAAAAATTTCCCCTTAGGTCTAAAAAAATAAAAATAAAAAGCACATGAATGCCTCTCCTCTTCCTTCTTGCTGAATTGTTTAGATATAAATGTATGATTCATAAAGGAGGAAAGGGCAACCCACTCCAGTATTCTTGCCTGGGAAATCCCATGGACAGAAAAGCCTAGTGGGCTACAACCCATAGGGTTGCAAAGATTTGGGCACAACTAAGCATGCATGCACACACACACACACACACACACACACACACACACACACATGATTACTGAAGCTTTACCAGCCATTTGCCATATTGAGGGGAAAGACAGGAAATTATAGAATAACCAACCTAAAATATTGGAGCTGCTGAATTAACCATCTCTGAAATTGCCAGTCCCCTAATTTTTATATATATAATTTTATTTATTTATTTATTTATTTTTTGCTGTGCTGGGTCTTTGTTGCTAGACAGGCTTTTCTCTAGGTGCAGTTTGCAGGGGCTTCTCTAGCTGTGGTGAGCTGGCTTCTCATTGTGGTGGCTTCACTCATTGCAGAGCAGGGGTTCTAGAGTGCTCTGACTTTACTACTTGAGGCACATGGGCTCAGTAGTTGTGGTTCCAGGGCTCTAGTGCACAGGTTCAATAGTTGAGGTGAATGGGCTTAGTTGCTCCAAGGCATGTAGGATCTTCCTGAACCAGGGATTGAACCCGTGTCTCTTGCATTGGCAAGTGGATTCTTTACTACTGAATCACCAGGGAAGCCCTCTAATCTTTTTAAATGAGATAATGTCCTCATTCTTTAAGCACTGATTTGGTTATCTAGCTGTTTGCCACCAAAAACATCTTTGTGGCTATATAGTTCAAGTAGGACTATCATAGTTTTCAAAAGAGATCACACTCTCCAATCAGCTATACATCATAGGCTGAGCATCACATTTCAAGAGAGATGTTGTCATAGGAGAGTAAATACAGAGGAGATGGCCAAGATCGTGGAATTAGGAAACTTGTTACAATGGGAACAATTGAAGGAAAGTAGATGCTTCATCTAGAGAAGAGACAAGTTAGAGGGTGAGAAAAGTATCACCAGGTATTTAAAGGACTTTTGTGTGAAAGGGGAAAACACTGTTTTGAGGGACACTCAGATCAAGTATGACACAGTCCATTTTCTCTGCCCTCATCTCCAAACACTCACTGAGAATGGGGAGAAATGCGTGAAAAGGTGTAGGGACATAGAAGTGAAGAAAGGATGAACTCAGAGCTGCCATGATGGCTTGAAGAGCCTGCAACTTTTATTAAATATTTCCCAGATGAAGCAGTTATTGGGGGGGAATAGGAAAAAAAGTTTTCATATTATCTTCCTAACTTTGGGTCAACATTCTACATTGCCCAAGAGTTGTAAAAAGGAAACAAGAAGATGGAGCAAATACATGTTATACAGAGAGAAATCAAATACAGATCTGAACTATACAGGGAAGGAATGGGGTGCAAGAAAAGGTAGAAATACCTCTCTTGATAAGCTACTCTTCAAGGTGCTGAGCAAATTTCAAGGTGAATAAGGCATGGCCCACATTCAAGGAGCCCTCAATCTGGGGCAGGAAGTCAAAGAGAAACCATGAGGTGGCAACCTTGGATTGAATCCATACCTCGTATCTGGACCACTAATAGACATGGCTCTGCACTCTCTGGCCTTGGATCCCCAACTATACTATAGCATCCTCTTCTCAGCCATATCATCTATATGATGCAAAAAATGGGTTGGGAAGACAGACTAGTTTTTCAGATTATCCAAGGTGTATTTGACAGAAAAGAAACAAACCCAAAGAGAATATACCCTTATGGGAAATATTTAGATGATATCACAAGTGGTACCACTTCCAAAAACCACAGAGGGGATGAGGGAGCAGAACAAAGGTGAGTGTTCCAGATTTAAGATGAAAGAGTTGAATATTCATCACAGATATTCATCCACAGATATTGTTGTTGGTGTTCTTTAGATGCTAATTTGTGTCCAAGTCTTTGCAGTCACCACATGGACTACAGTCCGCCAGGCTTCTCTGTCCATTGGATATCCCAGGCAAGAATACTTATGTGGGTTGGGTTGCCATTTCCTTCTCCAGGGAATCTTCCAACCCAGGGGTCGAACCTGCATCTCCTGCATGGCTGGTGGATTCTTCACCACTGCACCACCAGGGAAGCCCCCATCCATAGATGAGAAATGCTAAGCTTTCCCTTGTGATTGTTAGAAGCCCGGGTTTCAAATCCCACCAATATCTCCTGTCTTGAAACTTGAGGATCAGAGCAACCATCTCCTGGCCATCTCCTCTCTTGCTGTTCATCACCGAGAAAGTCACTTCTGAGTTTTCTCATTTCTAAAGTGTTTAATATAAGGATAACATATGCACTGTCAGTTTACTGAGAATGAGACAAAAGTGTGAAAGTGCCTTACACAATACCTGACAGAGCAACAGCTCCATAGAAATATTAATCTAAACTGTCACATTCCATGAAGACTTTCCNGATAAGGACCAGCATCCCACTGTTGGAGATCATAAGGAACTCCAGCAGGGAGGTGTCTGTGCAGGCAAGTCTTAGCACTTGTGTAATGTCACAGTAGAAGTTATCTAGGATGTTGGGTCCACAGAAAGGCAATGGGAGCATCAGAGCCAGCTGGACAATGGAGTGGAGAAAGCCCCCTACCCAGGCAGCCACCACCAGCCCCACACACACTTGAGTGTTCATGATGGTGACATAGTGGAGGGGTCGGGAGATGGCTATGTAGCGGTCATAGGCCATCACTGAGAGGAAGAGGAGAGTCCCACCTCCCAGAAAGTGGAAGAAGAAGATCTGGGCCATGCAGCCCTGGTAGGAGATGGTCTTCTTCTCAGCAAGGAAGTCCACCAACATCTTTGGGGCAGTGACTGAGGAGAAACAGATGTCTATAACAGCCATATTTCTCAGCAGAAAATACATGGGTGTGTGGAGCCTGGAATCAGAGGTCACTGTAACTATGATGAGGAGGTTTCCCATGACAGTGGTGGTGTAGACAAACAGGAACACCAGGAACAAGAAAAGCTGGAGTTCCTGGTACTGTGAGAACCCTAGGAAGACAAATTCTGATATCCACGTGAGGTTCCCTGAATCCATGATGTCTTCTCCATACTCCTAAGGAAAACACACCAGAGACAGAGAGGCTGAAGTTGTTGCTTGCTCTCTTAGTGCTCAAGCGCTGAATTCAGTTGTCCAATCAATGTGAGGGACATTCTCATGTACAGATTACAATATCAAGTGCTGATTCAATGACTGTCTTAGAAAGTTTACTAGTTGGTGCTGGGATACACATATTTGAGTTATCTTAAAGCCATCCAAAGACACAAGCCACCTGCCTTTCCAATATTCAGTGTAATCTCATGGTGGGAAGACAGAGTTCAATAGAACCAAAATCATATTTGAGAGCTATTTCCTTGAGATTTGGCCTTGAGTAAATTACTTAATCTGAGTCTCAGTTTCCACATCTGAGAGAAATATATTTTCTTTATAGAATTTGGCTTAAGGGATTAAATAAAATAACATATAAATTTCATAAACAGTATTTGGAATAATAAATGTTAATTACTCTCTTCTGTGTAGTCTCCTAGTCCTTGAAGGTTACTTTCCATTTACAGTTAATAGAAATAATGGCATCAATAATGGCAAAATAATATGGCATCAATCATTTTTCATGCAACAGTGAACACATCAGAACGTGTTAATGGACTTTTCATGTGTCAATGTTTTCCCTTCACAATGCAACCATAATGTGCTAGACACATAGGTCTTGATTTCCCAGTTTAACTGTGCCCTGCAGTGCCCATAGTCAGTAATTGAAAAGTACCTGGTGTTAACTTCTAGGTGGGTGAAAAGCTATTGTGGTTTAGGACATGTGAGGGAGCCTCTGGCCACAGTGGCACACCTGCGACATTCCATTTCTTTCCATCCCCAGGATAAGTGACCCTTACTGGATGAGGCTCCCCAGATGATAGTGGAAAAGTGGCAAAGGGGTAAATATTTCATTAGTGAAGAAATAGATAAATACATTGTTTGAAGGAGACAGAGCTCTTCTGAAAGGACAGCAATTTCAGATGGTAGTAGTATTGATCCAAGTGTAGAAGAAAAAAGTATTGAAGTAAAAGAAAGAAATAAACAAAGAATTCAGAGAAAGGAAATCATAAGGAAGGAAGATAGGGGAATATAATGGTGAAAAAAGGAGACAGGAAAAGGTGGTGTGGCAGGGGGGCAGTGGGAACAGAAATGAAGGACTCAGAGGGCAAGAGATAGAAGTGATAGGTGAGGGTTAAATGCCTTCCCCATGCCTTCAGCTTCCTCTCAATCTCCATCCACTCTCACTTGACCTCCTGAAATCCATTCTCTCTCAGGGATTATTTTTCCCTTTCTCTTTCATGCCGGTAAACCTTCTACACAGCTGTCCATGAGACCTTTCTAAACGCTGATCTGATCATGTTCCCCTCTCACATCTCTTCTTTAGTGATTTCACCAGAGCACCTTCGGAGCCGCATTTAATATTTTGTGGATCAAGTCAGGGTAGAAACACATACATAGGCAAGCGACTCGGCATGTCACACAGGGCTCTAAATGTAAGCTCCATCTACTTTCTAACCAGTAACTCTGCCTCCGATGAACCACTAGCTCTTTAATGAATTAGTCTTAAACATCGGAGAAGGCAATGGCACCCCACTCCAGTACTCTTGTCTGGAAAATTCCATGGATGGAGGAGCCTGGTACGCTGCGGTCCAGGGGATCGCCAAGAGTCGGACATGACTGAGCGACTTCACTTTCACTTTTCACTTTCACGCAGCCCTGGAGGGCTGCCCTCACCAGGGTCTATGGGGTCTATGGGGTCGCACAGAGTCAGACATGACTGAAGTGACTTAGCAGCAGCTGTCCTAAACATGCTGCATATTTCTTTCCATGTTTATTTCTTAACAATTCTTTCCATCTTCTCAACCCTAGAAAAGATTCATGTGAATGTGACCCTCTCTGTCACTCTTCTCACTCTTTCTCCCACGCAGAACAAATTCCCCATTTTTCAAGTTCTTAAACATTAAAAATCAGTCATCCCTTGTGGCTTAGATAGTAAAGAATCTGTCTGCCATGAAGGAGACCCAGATTTGATTCCTGGGTCAGGAAGATTCCCTGGAGAAGCAAATGGCTACCCATTCCATTATTCTTGCCTAGAAAATTCCATGGACAGAGGAGACTGGCAAGCTACAGTCCATAGTGTCACAAAGAATAGGACATGACTGAGCGACTAACATATACATGCACACACACACACACACACACACACACACATCTGAAACAAACCTCTGTTACAAGCTTATCATCATTCATTTTTGTCAGCTTCTCTCCTCAACCAACTATGTCATAATTTCAATATCTTGGTAATTGCAGAACTTGGAACAACAACTCTGATACAGCACATGCTCAATAAATATTATCAAATTAATGTATTTGATAATACATTATCATAATAATGATTTTAAAAGTGATTTTACTTATCCTCCATTCCTTATCTCACAAGGCCAGATCTATACTTGGTTGCTAAAAGTACTGGGTTTTACATGCAACCTGAAGCAGCTGTTTTAACAGTGCATCCCTGCTCCCAAATTTCTTCCCAAGGCTCTTCTCCAACATTAAACTTAGTACCATCAAGTCTAGGTCACTTTTTTATCCTCCTCACCCTTGAACAAGTGTTTCTAAGAACCTAACTATCATTGACATATCTGAGGATGTGGAAACCCTCAGGCTCTCACCTTCCTTCAGTCCCAGATGGGAGAAGAGAGTTCATGTCTTACACTTTCCGGGAGACTCTCTCCATACAGCCTCATCTCTGTATCTCATCTCTGACATCTCATCCTGATCTCTGGCATCACTGGCACACATGAGTCATGACCCTGGGGAAGAGCACGTATTCCCAGGGAGAAATTATTGGGCTGATTTAAGTAAGCAGAGCTGGAGTGATCCCACTGGGGGCAAGGGAACAACGGGAGCTGTTAAAAAGTTTCTAAGTCCCTCAAAAACACTTGCTATTTGAGAGGGCTGCCTTGAGGACAAAAAAGCAAGAAAAACAAAACAGAATCAAACACACCACACATAAAACCAAAAGAAAAGAAAAGCCAACAAAGACATTGAAAATTATAGAGATTCATGACATGTAAGATTAGGAGATCAAAATTTGAAAAACCAGATTCTCTGAAAGTTTCTGGGATTTTTGGAAGGACACATTTCAGAGACCAGTGTTTCACACTATAAGCATGAACCCGAATCACCTGAAGGGGATGCTAAACCTAAGGTTCAGTATCTCTTGGATGGCTGAGATCTACAGAGAATTAACATTTCTAACAACTTTTCAGGTGATGCTAATGCTACTTATCTGGGGCCATAGTTTGAGAATGACTTAGAGTTTCACTGCTCTTGTTAGCATGATGGACAGTTTCTTTCTCACATTATTAAGACCATTGGTTTGATAGCTTACTTTTAAAAAATTAATTGATCTTGGACAACAAGATAGGTGGGAAAAGGTTTGTATACTATACTGGAAACAAACCCTATAAATTTGTCGTTTGTTTTACCAACCCGATCCCAAGGTCGACTCCCCATGTATATCCAATTCTATTTACACCATCTATAAAACTCTAGTACTCTTTATATATGAATTACTACTCAATTAAGTCCTTCCTTTTATACAAGGACTAGTACATGAATTGTATATATATTTCTTATATATTATGTATAAGGAATTGTATATACATTCCTTATGTATACATTCTTTATACATTATGAAGAACTGTTTAGATAATTTTTATTATCTTGGTGTAGAATAAAAACTGTGAGTTCTTAGATACAGTTTTCTGTTTTACATGAGATTTCCAGCATGATCTGAGTTCTTTTGTTACAAATATTTATACACAATCCCTCTGGTTTATTTTTAAAAGTATAAGAATTAGTGGCTTTTAAGTACAAGAGATTCTAAAAACACTAGTTTTTCCAATGTTTAGAGTTTCAGCTCATTTCAAACTCCTGTCTTCTCTTAAAATAGCCTGTATTGATACTGGAGAAGTGAATAGGTCTTATCAATCTCCTTTAGTGTCAGATGTCATTAACTGCAACTTTATACAATTAGCTAATTAAATCACCTGGATTAATTAATTATGATTCTGATTGAGTTCTCAATAAAAAAGTTATTGTATCTTCTGTTTATATATTTCTTTTCTCAAGGCACATAGAATGATAAATTATCTACTAAGCTACATATCAGCCTCAAAGTTGATTCTTCAGAGTGGGACTGTATATAATTTATCCACTTTAGAAAGATGATTCCAATGTTTTATTGTTTTGGAGTTACTTGGCCCATCGTGAAAATTCAACAAATGTTTAAAAATTAGTAAACAGAAACTTCAGTTAAATAGAATTGGGAGGGACAGAAGGAGTTCTCACACCCTACTACAACCTCAGAAACCAACAGGAAAAAGAAAGACTCCCCTTCCTCCAATGTAGACAATATTATAGCAAACACTGACAATAGATCAATAACCAAGTTATGTAAGAGCTTCTACATTAAAAAGAAAAAGCCTGGACTTCCCTGGTGGTCCAGAGGCTAATATTCCACCCTCCCATTGCAGGGGCCTGGGTTCAATTCCTAATTAGGGAACTAGATCCTATATGTTGCTACTAAAGATTCTACTTGAGACAGTGAATGAAGATCAAGGATGACCCCACATGTAGCAAATAAGACTGGGTGCAGCCAAATAAATAAATAAAAATTTTTTAAAAATCCCTCGAGTTTAAAAACAAAGGCTATCATGAAATACCATTTTTTATTCACTTAATTGGCAAAAATTAAGAAGTCTGACAATATTAACTGTTTACAATGATGTGAATCAACAGGAACACTTGGTGCTGCTGATGACCATGTAATTCGGTATAACTTGGGAAAGCAATTTTGCACTACTTTATAAGGGTAAATCTTTGAAGATCTCATGATTCAGTAATTCCATTTCAAGGTATATAACCCAGAGCTCTGCAACATGACAGCTGGAGACAAGTAGAAGAACATTCAAAAGAGTGTTGTTCCAAGAGCAAAAACTGGGACAACCCAAATAAGATTATTCTTACAATGGAATATTACATACACAGCAGTGCAGATGAGTGAACTACAGCCAAACAAAACAATATGGACATTTAGAGACAATGTGGAGTGAAAAGAAGCAAATCCCAGGATATCAGGTACAGTCTTATTTGTATAAAGCACAAACAAAAAATAATAAACTGATTATGTAATATTTGATGAAATTGTTTTTATAAGCAATGGAATGAAAACACCAAATTCAAGAACATGGTTTCATCTGGGGAGAAGTGATGTGATGGACAGCACCTATAGGCAGGCATAAGTTATTAGTACCATCTGGTTCTTGAACTGAAGAGCATGTTCACATAATATAGCATTTTATAACTTAGAAGCATTTTACAAATAATCTTTTGCTTGTTATAATTCCTTATACTGCATTAAAATCTAGAGGAAAAAAACTGGTTAAATATATAATTTCAAGTTTGCAAATTAAGTAGAATATAGTTATATGGTACAACAGTTTCTCACACACACACACACACACACACACACACACACACACACAAGAAAAGACTGGTGAAGACTCAGCCCATGAAGAGCCATGGACCCTTTGTTACTGCAGTCTCCAACTCTCTTTTCCGTCTCTAGAAAAGCAGTCTTTTTCTCTTACACTGAAGCATTTGCACATGGCTCACTATGGGTACAGGCCCTGAATTGTAATTCTCTGCTGATCCTGAATAAACCCATCTTTCCTGGGTAAATATTTGGCTATCTAGGTTTTAGATCAACTTGTTAACAGAACTGAAGGTTATCCTTTTTAAGAGTAGGAGAGAAGTAAAAGACAGATTTGGTACACCTCTATGCTCAATTCTGAGGATACAAAAATAGGACAAACATTCTCCTCTCAAGAACTCACAGGTTGATGGGGAAAACAGATCTAGAAACACATAAATACACTTCAGAGAGGAGATAGCTCTACCTCAGAAGAGTGTCTGGAATAATAAATGGAGGACACTCTCATCTGTGCAGTCTCCTATTCTTAAACCTCCTCCTTTCCTCGAACCTCTAACATATTTTGTACTAAGATTTTTCTTGCATCAGCATTTGTAATGAACTTTCTATGTTTCTATGTTTTTCCCTCCATAATTCAACTACAGAATCCAGAGGAATGAATATGCTTCTTATAATTTATTTGTGCCCTACAGTACCTATCTTTGCTGATAGTCAATACTCAAAAAGTATTGCCTGATGAGTGGGTGAAAAGCTATAGGGAATGCCTTCCCTCAGTGGTGTAGATGGTTCCTTACTGGGTGAGGTGAGAGGATAGATGGTGTGTGTGCTGAGATGTGAGGTTAGGAAGGAGATTCTTTGGGTTAGGCAAAGGGTGATGATCTTCCATGAATGACACTGAAAGAGTTCTTAAAGAAATGAATTTTAGAAGATGTTACTAAATACAAGGGTAAAAGAGAAAGGAAGATAACGAAATAAGAGAAATAGAATAGAAAAAGGAATAAAGAGGGGCAATTAAGAGGGAGGGAGAGGAAAGAAGGGGAAGGGAAATGTTGGGGTGGGGGAATACTGGGAACAAAGATGAAGGACACAGAGGGTCAGAGATAGAGGTGACAAGTGAGGGTTAAGTGGCCTCCTCACTCCCCTGCCTTGTCTCTTCTCGTCACCCCCAACTGTCTCCTGCAAACTATTGTCCATCAGAGATTATTTTAGTGTCATCTTTCCACTTTCATCTGCATCCACTGAAGTCCATCTTTTACATCACTGTCACAGAGACCTTCATAAACTTGTACCTGACCACTTCCATTCCTCATTATAATCTTTTAGTGACTATCAAGGACTCACAGCTTAAAACCTAGATTCTTAGAAGAGACCTAACATTAGTTGTGGGTTAATTCAGGATTCAAAAACATGCTTTAATATGTACATGTAACTCTCTTTAAGTATGTCGCACCAAGATCAAAATGTAGGCTCCATCTACATTTCTCATCAGTATCCCTGTTACCTGGGAAGTGATTGCTAGTTAGGAATCCATGGGGTCTCACATATGCCATATGCTTGGTTATTTCTGCAGCTTTGGGAATGCATTCTGTTTCCTGAAATACCTTCTACTACCTTCTCAACCTTGAAGTCCTCAAATATCACCTGTTCTGTGACTCCTTCTCCATTTCTCACATGCAGAATTAATTCATTTTTCTGGGTTCCAATAACACTTTGCAAATACCTTTGTTACAGCTTTTATCATATTTTTCCTGTTGTTTCTCTTACCTAGATTATAAATTCAATAATTTAGTAGCCCTAGCAGCTATAATAGCAACTCTGATTTAGCACTTGCTCAAATACGTTGCTATCCCAGTGTATTAGTAGATAATAATGTGATTTTGTTCAACATGACCGTGTGGAAAATTGTGGGGTGTATCACCTTATCCTTTGCTCTCAGCATCTTCCCTCTAAACCACAAGACCAAGTGTTACTTGGTGGTTAAAACCTGGCTTTCACTTGCCACTTGAAGAATATGTTCTGAATGCCTTGTGTCCTCTGCATTGCTGTTGAGGTTATCCTCAGACTTTAGAGTGACTAGCATGGATTCCATATCACTTGTTTATTCTCTACACTCTCCAACAAGTTTCTGGATGCTTCTTACAGCTGCTTTATATGCAGGTGAGAAAATTCTAGTTTCATACCTTCCTTCAGCCCAGAATGGGAAAGAGTCTTCAGGTCATCCATCCTCTTAGAGATCCTTTATCCACAGGATCAGTTTCCCAGCCAGTGCCCATACATCACCCATACAACAAAGAGAGTGACCCTAGGAGACAAGAGTATATCCTTGGGGAGAAACCACTGGACTGCCTCAGAAAGCAGGACAAGGTCCCTGCCCTCTCTAGCCTGGGCTCCCCAACCATCCCACAACATTGTCCTCATAGCCATATCATCCAAAGTATATAAAGATTTGGTCACTAAAGTAGAATATCCTGCAGAATATTCAAGAAGTATTTGGTCCAGAAAGACCCAATCCAAAGTACAGGTAGATATGTTCTTTGATGATGGAAAACATTTAGAAACTTAACAAATGATATCACTTCCAAAATACCACAGTGTGGAATGAGTCAGAGAGCATGAAGGAGAACAAATGTAATTGTTCCAGACTTGACATAAAAGTGTTGACCATTCATCAGAGATATTCACCCATAGAAGAAGAACTCCCTAAGTTTTCCCTTGTGATGGTGAGATACTCTGAGTTTCAAATCTCACCCATATCTCCTGCCTCAAAACCTGGAGTCAGAGGAACCAACTCCTGGCCAAGCTCTGCCCCTCACTTGCTGCTTATTATTGAGCAAGTCTTTTCTCTTTGAGTTTTCTCATTTGTAAAACTGTATAACACTACCATACCTTCTGTCAGTTTTGTAAGAATGAGAGAGAAGTCTGACAGTAACTAACAAAATAGCTGACACAGGAAAATGTCCATAGAAATATTAGTTTAATTTCAACTGTCACACTCCATAAAGACTTTCCTCCACTTCTCACATGGAAAACAAAGGTTCAGTGAGAAGATTTGTCATTTAAAATCAACCTATTTTAAGTTCACTCCCTAGTGGAAATCACTAGGTGCTTGCCTAATCTCTTCACTGCTGCCTGCATCTCCTGGTTCCTCAGGGTGTAGATCATGGGGTTGAGCATAGGGGTGATAACAGTTTGGCTGATGGACACAGCTTTGTCCATGGGAAAAGAGGTAAAGGGCCGGGCATAAATATAGATACAGGGAATGAAGACCATAGACACGACTATGATGTGGATGGTGCACGTGGAAGCTGCCTTCCTCCTCGCCTGCCCAGAGTGGGACCTCAGCATCACCAGGATGACTGTGTAAGAGATCAGAAGGAGGAGGAACCAGATAAGGACCAGCATCCCACTGTTGGAGATCATAAGGAACTCCAGGAGGGAGGTGTCTGTGCAGGCAAGTCTTAGCACTTGTGGTATGTCACAGTAGAAGTTATCTAGGATGTTGGGTCCACAGAAAGGCAATGGGAGCATCAGAGCCAGCTGGACAATGGAGTGGAGAAAGCCCCCTACCCAGGCAGCCACCACCAGCCCCACACACACTTGAGTGTTCATGATGGTGACATAGTGGAGGGGTCGGGAGATGGCTATGTAGCGGTCATAGGCCATCACTGAGAGGAAGAGGAGAGTCCCACCTCCCAGAAAGTGGAAGAAGAAGATCTGGGCCATGCAGCCCTGGTAGGAGATGGTCTTCTTCTCAGC